ACTCAAGGGTGAACATTTAGCAGGGGTCTGGAAACCATGGAAGTTACTAGCCTACAGAGAGACCAGGGATCAGCTAACAACAACAGAAATAAACCTAGAACAGTTGCTAAAGAGGCATAATTTCTGAGGGCCAGATTAAGACTCAAGGGTGAACATTTAGCAGGGGTCTGGAAACCATGGAAGTTACTAGCCTACAGAGAGACCAGGGATCAGCTAATTTTTTTTTTTTTTTTTTTTTTTTCCCCAACTAATCTTCATAGCTAAGGCAATTCTTAGATCCAAGTCCATGAAAAACTGGGTAAGGTATGCTTTGATTCTAGAAAAGTTATCTTCTTAGGGATGTCCACAAAAGGTCAATAAGAAAGATATTTCCCAATGGAGAAACTTGGGAGCAGTCATTCCGCTGTCTAGAAGGAAGTGCTATAGATTGGAGTCCATTGTTTTCTCTTCTTACTCCAAATGGAAGAGTTCTTAAAAAATTATGCTCTAATCTCCATCCACTATTTTATATTGGTTATGTAGGGGTGAAAAATATCCTTTTAGCCACATACTGCAAAATCTTAAGGACACATTTGAACCTGATCAAGAATGACAAATCACTAAGGCACCAGGACTAGGTAAAGCAGTTGTGTCTGTAACTGCTTTGTCTCTCACCAGAAAGCGGCTGTGTATGCTTTGGTTGGGCACAGGATTATCACACTGTTAAGCCAACACAGTTTTGGAATTGTATGTTTGTCAATAAAAGTTTAGGTGGAAGCAATAAAAGGTAAAATGTGCTAGGTGGATATTCTTTATCTGTCGGTTATCTTTCCCTTTTCGGAACTAATTCTCCCCTTCCTCATAGACCTGGAAAAGTGGTTCAGTTTTCCGTCTTAGAGGTATGCACATGCTCAAGGCTGAGGAAAGTCTTCCCTAGGGTTTGAGAGCCAGAAGTGGTGAGATCAACATATAAAAGGAAGTGGACTCAAGAGGTGGAGACGTCTTTTAAACCCCTAAACCTAGCAATGCCTGGAGGCAGGGATTTATCCTTTGACCTATTGTTTATGTAAGCTATTTAATTTCCCAATGACTTAAAGGTGTTTGTGTTTAGACTTTGATACTTGCAATTGAAAAGGGCCAGACTATTACATGCACACACAAACAAAGACACAACATCATGTTGCCCAAACCCAGACATCCTACACCATTCCCAAGGGTCAGTAAACTTGTCTAAGGTACCAGATAACTGTGTTAAGCTTTGTGAGCCACATAAGGCTCTATAGTCATCATCATCATTTTGTTTTGACAACTCTTTAAAAAAATATAAAATGGGGACTGGAGATATGGCTCAGTATTTAAGTGTGCACTCCTTTTTCAGAGGCCCAAGTTCAGTTTGTAGCACCCTCATTAGGCAGCTGACAAACACCGGAACTCCAATGCCTTCTTCTGGCCTCTATGGGCATCTGCAATCATGGGCACTTCCCCACAGAGAGACATGTACACATACTCATAGTTTAAAAACATAACAAAATCCTTGAAAATAAATCTTAAAAATCATTCTTTAAAAAAAATTCTTAATTTGTATATCATACAAAAAATATGTCATAGGTCAGGTTAGGCTGACAGACCATAGTTTGTCAACCCTTGATCTAAATTACACCAACCTCTGCATCTTGGGAATATAGAGTCTGTCAGGTCCTTGCTCATAGTCTACAGTATGAAATAAAATCAGTTCCATGTTGTTTCAAATGCCTTGACATGACTCACTGCTGAGTAGGTTTAGGGAGCTTCGGAGTAGGTTTAGGAATGGTAAAAGGGTCTTGACTTATCTGTAATGTAATAGAATCTGAAAAAAGTGATTGTCATTTCTTGGCTATAAATACCTTTTCAAAATTATGCAATTGCTCGAAGACTTTGCTTACATATCCCAGTTCCTTCAGGAAGACTTCCTTGGACCTCTTCCACATTAGAGCAGTTAGTAGACTTTTTGCTGCTATAGACCATATGTGTCTCTCCATTGTCTGTGCTTTAACAGTTTGTTTCCCCTTAACTCCCGGTACTTGGTAGTAGCTTGAGCCCTAGAACAATGCTTAACATATAGCATGGAGAGAACTGTGTGCTTTTAGGTGAATGCCTAACATTTGTTTCTGTGTGTGCCAGTGTGGGCAGTGTGTGTTTCTGTGTGTGCCATACATGCAGAGGCCAGAGTACAGCTCAACTGTCATTCCTCAGGTGCATCACCTAGATTTTTTTGAGATAGGGTTTCTCATTGTCCTCTGACTCACCAATTTGGCTGGGGGGGCGGTTGGCCAGTGGGCCTCATAGATCACTTGTCTCTGTTGCCCCAGTGCTGACTGAGGTTACAGGTGCACGCCTGTTTTGTTTGTTTATTTGTTTGTTTGTTTAAATGTGAGCTCTGAGGAATTGACCTCAGGTCCTTGGGCTTACAAGGTAAACATTGAACTATCTGAGCTATGGCCCGAGAATATCTTTTTGTTTGAATGGGCAGATGTTCCATATCTCCACCTGTTCCCAAGGTGCTTGTCTATGGGTTAGCACTATGCTGGTGTATGTGTGCCTCAGCACCAGTTCCTCTCCCAGCTGGCAATTGTTTGTGGATGTGAACCACAGTAATGTTGTTGACAAATCTAGTTTTAATTCTCATTACTTCCAAAAACCAGTCAAAGACAGAGGAACAGGTGGGAACATATTTTCTTAGAAAGGACTTGGAAGGAATTATCCTCGTTCCCACCCACATCCTCCACTGTCCCAGTGTTACCAGACGGCAGGCCTCCAGTGTTGGACCAGAGTATCCCCCATCCTGTGGGGCTTCAATCTAGGTTGATCCATGACTTAGGGGTGGGTGTGTAAATTATTCCCGTAGGAAAAAAAGTGTTCAAGGCCCCACAGGCCTAGGGCTGACCAAGGCAAGGTGAACTGTGGTGTTCTAAGCTGAATCTTTTGCCCATCTCACAGAAGCAGGCAGGAAGCACCACCGTTGATCAGCTTTATACGGCACCCACTGTATACAACAGACAGACAAGGACAGACAGACAGAGCACAACCACTTCTAAGCTGAACACTGCTCACCATCTAAAAGCACCTTGGGTAAGCACATGTGAGACACGCTTGCATAGGAAAGATGTACTTTTAAAGGAATGAATTAGTATTTTGGCAAAACATCTACTTCCCTCCTGGGTCCTGGGTAAAGAGGGACCTCTAATTCTGAAGCTTCTACAAAGTGACAATTATCCCCTTCTCAAAGGCAGTATTTACAGCAGCAAGCCTTCATTGTCTGTTGTCACAGCCCTCTACATATATCTTGAGTCTACTTTACAGGTGGGCAAACTTAGACTAAGAGACAGAAGGTGGCCTGGAGCAAGAGGACACTGGGGCAGTCGCAAGGAGAGGGGAAACAGGAGGTGTCTTAGCTCAGTCAAAGGTGTGGCCTTGGTCTACCTGGACTGGGAAGGAAAAGGCTCTCTTTCTTCCCCGCTGCAGAGGCTGTGGCTCCACAGGAAAGGACATCAGGAAGGAAAGGCAGGTTCCCACTTCTGATGGCTGGGGTTCTCCCAGGATAGCAAAGAGCAGAGCAGGCCTGAGGTCTCTTCAGGGATACTATCTGGGTTTGGGGATTGTGGGTTTACTGCTTCCATAACCCTCTTGTTGCTGGACTATGAGCCTAGACTTCACATCCTTTATCATTTTTTAAAGGGCAAGGTAAGGGAGTAGCTTCAGAAGGAATGAGACACAGGACAATCTCTCCACAGCCTCCTCTGCCTAGGCTGGGGCTATCAAGGGTCTCCTTCACCCTGTCTCCTAGGGATAGTTAAAGGCAGCTTTTATGAGACTCTATACTGTCTTTTTTTTGTCTCTCTTCTGTTTTTTTCTTTGTTTTAATTTATATAGATATATATATATTCTTAAAAAAAAGCAATAGTCCTTTGGTCCCTAAACACTAAGGAATGATATGATTTTGAACGAAGTAAATCTGGGCTTCCCTTGCTGGGAAGCCCTTGGCACCCCCGAGGCCCTCTGCTGGTTCCCTTAGATCAGTCGATCCTCAGCCAGCACTGGTTGCCCTGCCAGCTTGAGCGCTCAGTGGAACAACCACATGATGAGTGGCCTGAGCCCCAGGCGCCAGCCTTGGGTCCGGTCCACCTCCGTCTGCTGCCACTCCTTCCGGTAGGGCCACTCCAGCATTTCTGTGCTTTTCTTTTTCCTTTCTTCTCACTCTTCAGTTTCTGTTGTTGGGTATTAATTGATAAGGAGACAGGGGCGGGAGGAGGCAAAGTCACTGAGAGTAAGATAAGAGCTGCCTGCCCCCTCTGTGATATCTCAGCTAAGTGTCCAGGTTTCTCTTCCTGGCAGCATCCTGGCCACAGAAGCCAGCCCTTGCCTAGATCACAGGCGGATCATTATAGTCAATGTCCTGCAAAGAGTTTCTGAGGTAGCTTGAGTGAGCTGAGGCCAAGGCGACCTACAAGGACAGCATAACTCTCCAAGTTGCAGGCAGCCTCCCGTGGCCCCTCCAGAAACCTGGACCTTGTCACCACAATGCTCATTGTCCACTAAGCCCTACAGGTCTTGCTCTTGAGGATCTTGATTTCTCTCCCTTCATTTCCACATTAGCTGCTCTCTTCTGCATCCAAACTGCCCAGTGGTTCTACCCCTTTACAATAAAGTCAGGACTATGAGATCCTTATGAACTGAACCAAACCCCATTTACCACAGCCCTCTCCTATATGAGTTCACTGCTCCTGTGGCTTCCTGCAACTGTCACTAGAATAGAATGGGCTGAATTTTCCTAGAAATCATCTCTCCAAGACTGGAAACACCAAGGTTGTCTAATTTATCTTGGACTTTGGGTTGAAAGAAAATCCCTGTCTCTGGCTCTCTTCTTTATGCCTGAATTTCTCAGAGGGCAGTACCCCAAAGCTGGCAGGGTCTTGTGACCTGGGCCCCATTTGCCTGGCATTCATCAAAGACTCACCTATCTGCGACTGATCAGTGAGTGCTGATCAGTAAGGCCTGTTGGCATCCTTAGGTCTCTTTAGCTGGACCTTGAGCCTCTTCATGCCGATTTGAAAGCCATTCATGGCCTGGATGGCAGTCTGAGCACTGGTTGGATTGTCAAAACTAACAAAGCCTGGAAGGTATGGACAGACAGTTAGCTGGGAATTCAGCTTATCAGGATCTCCTTTCTCTATTTCCAGAGAAATATAGTCCATCACATATGTACCCTTCCATTGCTCAACTATGTGAGCATGTATGCTGCGTACATAAATAAGCATAGACACGTGCTTAATAGAGGCAAATCTTTCCTACAGTTGTGATTTCCAAAAAGACTGGAAGTAAGTCTGGTGGGGAGAAGGGACTGTGTGTTGTTCAGAGTATTTCCCTGGTTTGGGTGGGCTGCTTTATTCCACTCCTCCCAATCTGGCTTCAGGTCTGCAGCTGGAGTCTGAAGACAGCTCTTGATTCCAAACCTAGACTCATCCGGCTCCAGACAAACTCTAAAGCTGAAGCCTTCCTGATCTCACACATTCTAGTTACCCAAGATTCTCAGGTGATCTGAAATAAGGCTTTTTGTGTCCACACTTTGTCCCATAACACTGTCTCTGGAAGCCATATATATATATGATCCCTAGGGAATCCTGAGGCACAGGGACGGATCAGCTCACCAAAACACTTGCTCTGGTTGGTGGCACGATCCACAAAGACTTTGGCAGAGACAACAGCTCCGAAGGGCAGGAATGTCTGTATGAGTTCTGCGTCCCCAAACTCCTGAGGCAGGTGATAGATGAAGAGGTTACAGCCTTCGGGGCCTGCAGGAACAGTAGCAGACTTGTTCAAGCTAAGGACCCCCGAGGGGCACCTCCACAAAACCCCTGTTCTCCAGCCCCTGATCCCTCACCTTCTCTTTGTTGTTGAGGCAGAGCTGAAGGCTGCTGGGAAAAAGCTGTGCTCACTGGGGCATAGGCCGAGGGATAGGCTGCTGGAGACAGAGGTGGTAGTGGGCAGTGACCCCCAGGAGCAATATACCAAACGGATCCCCATCTGCCTGGCCAGCTCTGGCAGATTCAACCCAGTTCATCATAACCCTTGTCCCAAGACAAGTTGCTGAGGGCTGGGGACTGAACAGGATGGAAGAGCTGACTCCGTGGAACAGAGCCTAACCCTCCCACAAATCTCCCTATTCCTTTCTGAGGCCCTTTAACACCCCACACCCACACCCCCCAGACTGGGCAGCGCCAAGTGAAACCTGCGTAGTGTTGTATCCCAGCGTAGGCCTGCTGCAGGGGGTCAGCCACACCGGGGCTCTGGGCTGGAGAGAGAGGGGGCCCAAGGCCCACGATGAAGGCAGGTGGGCAGGGGCCAGGGGAAGAGTCCCTGGGTGGGAGTGTGGGATGTGGAGGGCCGCTATGAAAGGCAACAGGGAAGATGGAGGAATTCCTTTCCTCCAAGCAGGGCCTTGCCTGGAAGAAGCCTTGCTTCCCACTCCATTTCCAGGAGGTTTGGTCAACAGGGTAGAGTGACCCACCTGGATAAGGAGAAAGCCCGTTGTTATAGAGCGTATCGGAGCCTGGCTGTCCATTGGTCTGGGGGGTCAAGGAGCCGAATCCATTGACCCCCATGGGAGCTGGAAGGCCGGGGAGTGCACCAGGGCCACTGCCACCAGGTGATGTGTTGGCTGTAGGTAGAGGTAAGAGAGTCAGGGAGTGGCACTTCAGGGGCCCTCCCAACCATGGCTTCAGTCTCTTGGGTCCCTTACCTGCTGTAGGCAGTAGTGGTGCAGCCACCAGGCTGAAGGCTGCTACGTGCTGCATCTGAGCGGCCACCGCAGCCACCTGGCCTAACCCGGGACCCTGTGCTGCTGCCAGCAATGCTGCCTGGTGTTGCAGGATCTTGGGGAAGGAAGAAGGGCGTCTGTAGAGGCCTCAGAGGCTGGCAACTACCTGATCTCCCGACCCGGAGCCAGGTCTTACCCACTCCGGGCCAGAGGCAGGCACCTACCGCAGTGGTGTAAGCTCCACAGGCCCCGAGAGGCAGTGGCGTTGGGTGGAAGGCGCCCAGCTGGCCAGCCATTTGTTGCATCCTCCGCAGCGCGCGCTCCCTGTCGGTGTCTGCCAGCTTCACTACCAGGCTGGATGAGGCGCCCTGGGCAGAGGAAAGGCGTGATGAACTGTGCTGACCCTGACTGAGCTCTGAGCCCAGCGCCTTCCTCAGCAAGCCGGGAAGGCTCTTGAGCTGGAATGCCGAGTCTGTCAGGTGAAGGGAGGAGGTCCCCACTCCGCTGGCCTCACCCTCAGCCTCGGATCCCCGCTCTCACCGACATTGTCCGGCTACCGTGCAGTCCCTGGATGGCAGCTTGAGCTTCCCCTTGACTCCCGAATTTCACAAAGGCACAGCCTGGTGCAGGAAAGAAGAATGGAATGATTCAGGCCACAGTAGTCAGAAGGTAAGAAAAGGTCATAGGGAAAACCCAGGGGCAGTTCAGGTCACCTTTACTGGTACCATCAGGACTCCGCAGGACAGTGCACTCCTCGATATGGCCGAAGGGCTGGAACAGACGTCTGACATCCTCCTCACCCTGCTGCTTGCCCAACATCCCCACAAACAGCTTCCGGTCCTCTGGGGACAAAGCCAGGAATGACCTGGGGACCCTGATTGTTCCTAGACTCCCCAGAGCTGTCTGCTGTGCTTGGGAAGGTGGCTCACCAGTCTAGTTCTAGGAAGCTGTGTAGGGAGTGAGGTCATGGGACCCTAAAGCTGGGTCTGTCTCTGTGAGGGGCAGAGTGACCACAGGTAGATCCAGAGGGAAGAAATTCAGCTGGGATTTCCATCATGAAAACTGGGTCCTGCAGAAGCTCATGGAGACTAATTGCTGCTCTTTGGGAAGTGATACATTCTTGACGCCTTTTGGGGGTAGAGCCCTACACATATCATATTACATTTTGACCTTTTTTATTGATAGATTTGGGCAATGCTACTGGAGACTCAGCATGCTGGAGGGAAGGATGCTTGACTATGACTTTACTGGTCAGCCTGGTGGAAATGATCTTTCTTGCTCAAATTAAGAAGAGCTCTGTCAAACAAATAAACAAACACAAAACAAACAAACAGGACAGAACACAGCTATCCTATTCCTCTGTCTTAGCCATGGACACTCAGCACTGGCGAATCCTTACTCCCAGAACAAAGTCTAACCAAAGACTTGCAGAGAACCTTTGGCTTTCTGAGCTTCTAACGTTAGCTTTTTCCCCACTGTGCCTGCTGAGCCCATGAACCCCTTTCCTAATTCTCAGACATCCCGACCCACCCCTCTGCCCTTCTGCATCTCCTTGCCTAGCTTCCAGAGCTTCCCCCACCCCAAGCCCTGTGACCTCCTCTCTGACTTCTCATGTTCTGGTGCCCTGATCCTTCCTCTGTTGTGGTTATGCCTTGAAAGAATACATTCTGTCTGTAACCTAGATGATCATCTGAAACCAAGTGATCTGTTCATGCAGCCACATTTCCTGTGGGATTGAAAGCTGAACCTCTGTCCCACGAGGAAAGTTAGAGGGCTTGGATTTGAACCACGAATTAACTGTACATCTTTCAAGCCAGACCTCTGCAGCACTATCTAGGCAGCTGGGATTGAGGGGTAGAGTGGAACTACTGTTACAGTCTGGATTCTTTCTCTATCAATGTAACCTCTGAATTAGGGGTGGAGCTTGCCAGTGTGTGTGGCACAATGCACACTGGGAAAAAAAGGGTTGGTTGGAAATCAGGCTTCAGGTTTCAGCTTTAAGATCCCAGAGCTCAGAAAAACCCAGCTCCTAAACCCCTTTACTACCTCACAAACTTGGGGTAAGAGTTCAATCCTGTGATCTCTTTCTCCCTCTCTCCCTCTCTCCCTCTCTCTCTCTCTCTCTCCTCTCTCTCTCTCTCTCTCTCTCTTGTTTTTTCTTCTACAGGTGTTAGTGGGAGCCCATGGAACAGATCCCTGGTTTCCCAAAGTCTTAAAAAAGTGAAATATATGCCATACCAATTCTTGGGCTGGAGAGATGGCTCAGCGGTTAAGAGCACTAGCTGTTCTTCCAGAGGTCCTGAGTTCAATTCCCAGCAACCACATGGTGGCTCACAACCATCTATATTGGGACCAGATGCCCTCTTCTGGCATGTAGGCATACATGCAGACAGAGCACTCAAATGTAAAAAAAATACATAAATAAAATTTATTCAAAAAGTGAGATATACTGTTTCAGCAATATTAAAATGTGCTAGTGAGATGACTCTGTGGGTACAAGCACTTGCTGTCAATGATGAACTTGATTCTATCTATCAGCTATCTATCTGTCTGTCTCTCTATCATCTATCTATCTCATTTATCTCTATCATCTATCTATCGCTATCATCTATCTATCTCTATCATCTGTCTATCTATCTCTATCATCTATCTGTCTATCTATCTATCTTCTGATGAACCTGAGTTCTATCCCTGGAACCTACATAATGAAAGGAGAGTACTGACTCCCACAAGTTGTCTCTGATCTCCACATGTATGCTGTGGCATACACATCAATCAATCAATCCATCAATATAATAAAATATTAGGGTGAACAGTAAAGATGTAAGAGAAAACCAGAAATGCCTGGACTGAATCCAGAAAAGAGAATTGAAACCTTCCCTGTGCAATCTAAGGAAAGTCCTTTGAAACAAGTAAAAGATAGAAGATAGAGTTCCAGATAACCCAAGAAGACAGGAAAGAACAATGGGATACACAGGTCACTAAGGGATGGGAACATCAAAGATGAGCTCAACCTTCCAGGAATAGAAGGAGTTGGAAGGCAGCATCAATGTATATTTGAGTCTTGCATAAATATTATGAAATTCATGGATTTGCCCTAACATTGAAGAACAGGCCTCAAGTGGTCAGGTAAATGTCCAACACCAAACATCAAGAAATCTGTGCAAGCTGGGCAGTGGTGGCACATGCCTTTAATCCTAGCCCTTGGGAGGCAGAGGTGGGCAGAGCTCTGTGAGTATGAGGCCAGCCTACAAAGCTACACAGAGAAATACTGACTTGAAAACTAAAAAAAAAAAAGTCTGTGATATTGTTCCAAGCTTTGACATTAAAATATGCCCATGTTTGCAAAAGGCCTGGAAGTATCTGTAGAAGCCAGGACCTCCACAGTCCCAAAGGGAGCTTCACAGTGCTCTAATTTATAGTAGAGCGGTGTCAGTAATAGGGTCTCTAAACTGTCATGTTTCCTGGGCCAGCATCCAGGTGGCCCTATGTGAGAAGAGAGAACACAAGCTTAGATGAAACCCTTAACACAGTAAAGAGGTTTGTGTGGACAGTGGCCTTCCAGTCCTTCATTTAAACTTCATGCTGCCCTTTTCTGCCCATGGTGAAGTGTGGGACAAAGATGGCCCCTGTCTGGCTATCACAGTTCACCTCTGGTACCCCTGTATCAGTAAGAACCTCTTGATTTAGTAATTTCCATCAGAGCATTGAGTCTATGGTTCTGGACTACTGGGATGTAAAAAGTCCTCTTTGAAAAGAGCAATCATTATGGGCTAGGTTCTCTACCTGTCTCCAACATATCTCTTGAATCTTGGAACTTTCTTTGCTACTTTTCAAGGACTTAATGTTTCACTGGACAATGAACTGACTCACAGTGACCATGAACTTCAGGCAATCCAGAAATGGTGGGGTAATTTTAAGAGACTTGATCAAAGGCAAGCCTGGTCGTTTAGTGTAGCCTCCAGAGTAACACTAAGACTCTAAGGCTTAATGATTCCCCTTTAGATAGAAATGATGGTGCTAATAGCCTAGATATATCAATTTCCTCTTAAACAAACTCTACTAGTTTGTTTAAAAGATGATGCTACAAGAGCTAGAAATAAATGTCTGAGTGAGGGCTGGGGGTGTAGTTCAATGGTAGAGCACTTGTACAGCATGACAAAGCCTGGAGTTCAGTCCCAGTACTTAAAACCATCTAAGTAAGGGTATCCAGTGGGGGCTGGAGAGATCCCTAAACAATTAAGAGTATCAACTGCTCTTCCAGAAGACCCGAGTTTGGGGTATAGCTCAGTGGTAGAGCATTTGAATTCAGAAGACCCAAGTTTGATTCCTAGCATCCACATGGTGGGTGATTCACAACAATCTAACCACGGTTCTAGGGTGTTCAGTATTTTCCTCTGGTCTCTGTAAGTCTCAGGCACACACATAGGGCATAAACATATATGCAGACAGAACACCTATACACATAAAAATGATAAAATAACATGAAGAGTATGCCATGGAAGGTAAGTAGGTCCCTACAGATAGAATATCAGCTGTGGAGTTCTACCTTCCTGGAGTGGAAGAAACTGAAAGGCAACATCAGTGGGAAGTTGAGACATAGTTGGAAAGTCACATAGTTCAATAGTATGATTGCATTTTTCCTATTGGCACCTAATCTATACTCCTTGTTACTCTCCTAGATGTTTGTGAACTCCTAGTAAGTGGCTTAGGCTCTCACATGTTCATCTCCATGAAGCTACTTTGTGTATCTGGTCATACAGGTCAAGAATTCTAATGTAACCAATGATAGGTTTGAAAGCAGAGTATCAGCCCAGTCTTTTCTCTGAAGAAAGGAGAGACCAGGGTGCTAATCAAAACCAGAAGGCCTTGCCTGAGTTATGCACATTTCTGGCATTTAGGGCCTTCAAATCCACTCTTTCATTGGTGGGATGCCATGACTATGATAAAGGTGGCAACTTTTGGGTGCCAACCACCAAACCCATTCTGAAAATATTTAGTCCACCTTTCAGTTCAAAGACAACCCCAGAAAGTCCTTCTGGAGGCAGTGGCTGTAGCGAATCCTGGTGTTATGCTACAGCATAGAAGCCAAGGAAGACTGATCAAGTAAGCAAAATCTCCTGGCCAGACAAGCATCAAGAAATTTAAAAGGCCTGGGATGTAGCTTACTTGGCAGAATGCTTGTATAGTATGGGTTCATACTATGGGTTCTAGCACTTCATAAATCGGTATTGTAGTAGACACTTGTAATCTCAGTACTCAGGAGGCTAAGGCAGGAGAATAAGTCATTCAAAGTCATCCTTAGCTACATAGAGGCCAGTCTAGGCTACATGAGACTCTGTCAAAAATAAAAGGACTTGGGCTGGAGAGATGGCTCAGCGGTTAAGAGCACTGCCTGCTCTTCCAAAGGTCCTGAGTTCAATTCCCAGCAACCACATAGTGGCTCACAACCATCTGTAATGAGATTTGGTGCTGAACACTGTACACATAATAAATAAATAAATATTAAAAAAATAAAAACAAAAAGACTTAACCAGTTGTGGTGCTTACCTTTAATCCATACTTAGAAGGCAGAAGCAGGAAGATCTCTCTCTGTTAATTGAAGGCCAGCCTGGTTTACATAGTGAATTCTAGGCCAGCCAGGGCTACATGATGAGACTCTGTCAAAAAAGTTTTGTCTTCAGTGGGCAAAGAGCTTGATGGTGTTATGGTAGGTGGGGACAAAATGGTCTGCTGGATGCCAGCTTGGGTTACATAATGAGACATTGTCTCAAAAATCAACTGAAAACACAAACAAAACCAAACTATAGGTGAAGATCTTAAATTGATATTTCTATGAAGA